GGGGTTTCCAAGAACTCCTTTTTGCCGGGAAAAGGTCCACTCTGAGTTAAATTTTATTTAGGTACATGAAGGTTTCATGGTAAAAGGTCCACTTTTTTAGAAAAAGACCCCCCATTTGAAACTGCTGGCTACGGGCCTGATCAATCTGCCTTTATCTTGCGAGTCTGACTTCCATCTACTTCTAGGGGATTTCTGGTATGAATTATATCTATTTCAATATGTACACGTTTATTGTTCTAATGTATACTTAAAGTCTGACGATATACACTGTAGATTATATTTTGCCTTGGATTTAAGCCCTTGGCTTGCGAAGACAGAAACTTGCGCTTGCTCTACTGTATGCGATGTGCATTTTCAGCTTAATTGGTCTTGCGGGCCGATGATCGCACCTAAATGCATGTTCTCTGACGCAAAATATGGAATTATGCAATGTAATATCTCGTATCATCAGTCTATAAGTCCGTTCACCTCTCTGTCTTCGACGTTTGGAAATCAGGCAAGAATTACGCAACAATTTTGATAGGAATAGTATCCGTCGCAATCCGCAAATCACTGCTATTAGTAAGGTTATCAGTCTACAAAAGATTGCATTTCTTACCGCTCGCACCACTTAAACGTTTAAATCCATTCGCAAACGAGCTGAGTTTTAAATGACGTAACTAAAATAAGTCCGTTTAATTAAGTATCACTCTGATACTACCCTGGATATTAAAATTCTAAGTCTGAATTTAACCCATAAGAAATGGCAAGGAACTCTTAAGGGCGTTCATTGAATATTCTTTAGTGAATAAGGCAGAGTACGGGTGGGCAGCACGTGTATTGATGTTTTGATCGCACTGCGTACACCCATTACTTTTCAGGGAGTCGAACGAAGAATTCCATCGGCTATGTTATGCATTGGAAATTTTGATAACCGATTCTTCAACAACGACCAAAAAAATTATGATTATTAACGCCGGTAGTGCACGTAGCTCTGATTTTAGCTGTCGTTTGAAAAAATCTATGGTAAGGTAGTTCGGTTTTCGCTGTTTTTATAACTCTATATAAAATGTATTAAATGTATAAATAAATGTCGAAAAATTGCGTCTACGCTTTATAAGAAACACGGTACGAAGTAAAAACGATGGCAGCCCGGTAAATCAAAAGATACTCTTTTGCCAAGTTCTGGGTGGTAACCTCTCAACCCATGATGTTATTATTAGGCAAGAATCCGGTCAACCTGTACATTTTTCCTTTGAGCGTGAATTTCCTTTGTGTCACTTTACATTAACAATACGTAACCAGCTGCGCCTAGCACGTAACGAAATCTATAAACAGGTGCTTGCATGGTCTGAGACAATGCATTGTACCTCTTGTCGAATTTCCTTTTACTACATGTTGGAACTCAAGGATGAAAGAATTCACCGACAAGGAACATGTACCTCAGTATCCGTGTCCTTTGATGTTTTACACCCCTTGTTTTTCAGAGCTATAAACAATGCGTGGCTGAAACGCTGTGACAAACTGTGATTGTTACTTCAAAGTATTATGTAATATAAAAAGAAATGTTGCATTGCACTATGAAATAATGCTTGGAGGGACCTTGAAGCATTAGAGCACATAACTTGCCCCAAAATCAACTTTTTTACCAGAAAAGACTAAGGCAGTAATGTGATGAAAAAATGCTCTACATTTTCTAAAAGCATGTGTACAAAACACGCGTCTGCTCAGTAACTTAATATAATTCAGCACCACGGTGACGCTGGCTACTAAATTAGATAAACTATGCCGTAAACTACGATACACGTGGCCTTCCCAGGTGTAGTCGGGTTGTTATTATTACCATTTTATTTATTTATTTATTTATTTATTATGATGAAGACGGTGTTGTTGTCTCCTTGAATGTCATTTATTATTTATATGTTAATCATTTCGATTGACTTAGTAAGTGCTTCTGAAGAAGAAATCAATGTCTTACCGTGGCACGAAGATACGTAACTATACTGCACATTGTATATGTTAGCGGCATATACATGAATGAGCATTAAGCGTCTTTAAAATTATGTGCATCACTACCGAACTCGCACCACGGGTGGCAGGGTAGAATGCTACTGTATCATCGGACCAGGTAAAATCCGCAAAAGCGATCTGGCCTTCGAAAGCGATTTAATGGACGAACACTTTAAAGGTCGCCCAATTATCCAATCAAAGAACGGTATACTTAGTCTCGTTACTGACGGCTGTTGTATTGTGGGGCATTAATAGAGGCTTACTCTCCTACGGTCGCACATAGTCTCCCACTGAAGGCTTTTTGGAAGAGTTAATATGTGATACATAATGTATCTCTATTTTTAGAAGTGCCAATGTAGAGTAATCCGTCTTACAGACTAAAAAGAATGCCACTCCCGCAACGACAGTTAATTAGCCAGTGCCGTAGCTTGGATGATAGTTATATATCTCTAAGATGGCGCTAGAATCCAAGGAGTAGAGTGCTAGAGAATAAATAGGTCTGGAGTCCCTTTCACAAGAAAACGTAAAATTTAGACCAAGCACTTTACGTTTTCCCAAGATTGTGCATTAGTTGGCAGCTTTGAAGAGAGTCCTAATTGTTTAAACCGGGATTTAGTCCAAGTTTTATGTCCAACTGATTATTTATATATATTTATATATATTTATATATATTACAGGCCGTAATTGACTCACCTTGATCTACTGTGTGACTAACAACTCTCATGTTTTATCCAATTATTATCATTATTTTTCTTTTCATTTTTAAAACTGGACTTCATGATAAAAGTGGCGAAAGGTGTGTTGAACGTTCGTGCAAATGAACTTGTAGACGAATTCTGGAATTACACACGTTACACCTACAACAGGATTTATTCTCTAGCAACTTGCAAGTCACAAAAGGGTAACACAAGAGAGAGAGAGAGAGAGAGAGAGAGAGAGAGAGAGAGAGAGAGAGAGAGAGAGATAGAGAGAGAGAGAGAGAGAGGTACAATAAAGAGCTGAAGTAACGTATAGTGATTACCGCACATGAGCAATTTGGTACTTCATTCACTTAACTTCCAGCTCTATCGACCAGGTGGTAACGAGCAAGATTTGCGTTCAATCCATAATTGGATATTTGGCTTTACGTGTTGTTACACAATCCGATGTAAAGACAGCATTGAGTTAACTGCAGAGTGTGCTTTCTGTGGGCATAACGATTGACATAGGTAACGATCGGTGGTTAAGTTGATAGAGAGAATCCTGTATAACAGATTTTACTGGGACAGCACTGCTACATGTACGTGTTCCTATGTACAAGTGCTCCCACCCTTTACAAGGATCAAAGGTATTTTTCACACTATAACTCAAAGAAAT